CCTTTTGGGTGCTCGGACCCTAATGATGTTAAACCAGATGAAACTGGATGTAAAAGATGATAACCTGAAGCAACATTATGATACATCTCCTAGCTTGTGTGTCTTTTGCTGACTGGAGTGTGAAATTCTTTACAAATGGCCAAAAAGCACTAATTTTTAATGTACGTATTTGTTTTCCTCTCAGTAAAACGTAATCTGTCAGTCAGCTGTCTCAACCACATGAGTCTTCTGATATTTACATGCTGTTATTCTTTTTACATGAACGGATCGAGGCTCAAAAAAATGTTTAGTTCCTCTATATTTCTCATGTAACCTATTTTGCTCAGTATATTTCTAATTTGGCCTTTTGAAGACAGTTTAGTTGCTGCTGTACACGTAAACTCACATGTTGTAAATGTTGATGCGAACATTTCGAAAGTTGGGGGAGATACTGTTTACCGATGCTAACACTTGCAAATTAGCATTTAATGTAGAGAATATGGTTACATTTGCATATATGATGCTAAATATTTTCATAATTTTGAGATTTAACAGGTTAGGGTGCTGCTGGGGTCCCAGACAGTTCCCGTAACTGTGCACACATAGATGTATTCATATCTCCTACTAAAAATACAGCCCTTGGTCGACATTTCACCAACTTCCTCTGAGAGCAGGAGAATTTGGTGTGTGGCCAGCAGGCAGCAGCGTAGTGCAGCAACACATCTGGCATGACACAAACTGACTCAGTAGTTCTGTTGAACTCCTGTTATTCGGGTGGAAAGTCAAGAAAAAGTCAAATTAATGCATCGAGGTCCAACCTATAGGACTGTGAAAAGTTTTGTGAATGTTTTATTAATGCAACCTCAGGGGGAGATGAATCCTTCAAACTAATTTCTTTACAGTCTAAATGTGTTTCATTTATTGTGTCGTCTGGCTAAACTGTGCAACCGAGGTTGACAAAAGCAGTAAGAAAAGAAGGCAGCTGCAGTAAAATTTATGAGACACAGACTGACATTATTTTTCATTTGCAAATGTGAAATAGTCCCAGAAAGAAGCTGCACCTCCATCTAGTGGGCAGATTCCAACCTGCAGCTTAATTTAACAGGCCGTAAATTATAGGTGCTCTTGGTAAGTTTTCACCTTCAGAGGTATCAGATGAATCTGTACTAATTCCATGTGCATTAAAAGAAGCACTGCCAGTTTATTTGAATTACCTCCTCAGTAACGTGAGCAGGTTTGGGCCAGTTTGTGGATGACGTGCAGGAGGAGGAGGAGGAGGAAGAGGAGGAGAATGTTCCCCTTCACCCCCTCTGAACTCTGGTCAGGACCTCAGAGCACCGACAGCTCAGAGAGAAAAAAGGTGAAGAAGATGAAGAAGCTGGTGGCGTTTTTGCTTTTCCTGGTCCTGCTGACCGTTTACACAGGTAGGACACTTTACCTGCAGCATGTCGTGGTGAAGTACGGGGGGACTTCGACGCCCTTTTAACGCTGTGCACATTGTTTTTGCAGCAGTTTTGCAAGTTTTAGACAATGAAGGATAATGCATGTCACAATAGATGAGCTCATCTGGAGTAGCTTTACATTATCTGGCTGCACTTTTCTTTTCTTGAAGTTGCAAATCTTTAAAAAGTGTCCCAATACTTCTTTTACTGCATTTCAGATTTTGCACATTTAACAGCAACTGTGTGTGTGTTGATGTTCTTCTCAGTTCTTCGGTCCCTGTGTTTTTGAGTCCTTCATTTATGACACGATGTTGGGGTTGAGCGACGATTGTTTGTATTGTTTTATTGCATTTTTTTATTGTGTTTTCATTTGATTTGTATTTAATATCAGCTGTCTGAATAGCAACTGAAATTTCCTGTGCAGTTGATTTATTTTTGTTTGCTTTAGGCCAGTTCAGCACATACTACTTGGATGGCTTATTTTTCAGTCTTTCTTAATGAAACAGCTGGAGAAGCTCTGGTGTTTTGCCACGTTGCTGTCAAGGCCCAGACAGCAGCAGCAGCAGCAGCAGCAGCAGCAGCTCAGGCCTGTTGTGTTGACAGAGCTGGTTCACTTTCACAGCAGCTCCCTCTGGTAGCAGAGGAGGAAAGAGGCTGCCTGCTGGGGTCACGTGCTGCACGGCCTCGACTCCCCGGGGAGCCAGCAGGATGAATGGGCACTTTGTTACCTTCCACCAAAACACCCCTGCCCCTCGGTCCGGACCGGGGCTGGGAGGCAGAGACAGAGAGCCCTCACTCTGCAGAGTGGGCGAGCTGCTCCCTCAGGGGGAGAGGGGGGGAGCTGGCGTTTGGGGGGAATAAACAACCTCACATGGACTCTGGCAAAACAGATCAGGTCAGCCGCAGCTCACCAGCAGCAGATTGTGGTGAGGAGGTTTATTCATGGGTCTGAACGCAGCTTTCAGGGAGAGGAATCTGATTAGCCAATACCCAGCTGCCAAGCAAACAGCTGTTGTGCTCAGAGTAAAATCGAAATAACTGAGGCAGAGGTTAAACTCACAGACTAAGAATAGGCAGAAAAACAAACCTGCAAAGCAAAAACAAAATCCTACATGAGGAGCGGACGTTTGCAGTCTTATCTCTGTCTCCCCTGCAGATGCAAACCCCATCATCAAGGAGAGCTTTGCTAAGCAGCTGCTCCGCAGTAAGAGGCAGGAGCGACCAATGAAGGCCGGATACCCCGACGAGCCGATGAGGGTGAGCTCCACAGTGTACAGAAACATTATAAAAGCTGCAGATTGAACTGACCTTCATATCGTTTATCAGCAGTGGGAAAGCGATAAACTTACATTTAATTGTAGCTGCAAGCACACATCAGACATAAAACTCATCCAATAATTGCTTTTACACATGCATTTGGGGTTTAAAGCAGTTTTTAAGTACATTCAAAACATATAATTATACATGAAGCCACTATGATATATCACTGTACTTTTCTATTTAAGGAGACCTTATGAGGAGACTTCTTTCAAATACATCATCAAATATCCAAGAAGGTCTTATGTATGCATCTAACAGTGTTTTATAAACCATATATTCTCATGATATTATATATAATCTGCCTTTAAGTGCATGCTTTAAATGAAGCGTTACAGTGTTGGGAATCTGTGCTCAAAAGATTTACTGAATTGTATATAAGAACATTTAAAAAAATAAAAAGTTTGATCATATTTTTAATCTCTTTTTCTGATGTAATTCAAAGTTATTAACTTCTCAGGTGCTGGGTATTGTGGACATGCACAGTTAAAATCAATATTAAGTCCATGAAGGGTTAAAAGACATGAAAAAACAAACAACACTTTTCCAAATTTTAAGAATAGTTTGAACCAGTTTCTTAATCAGAAATGTGTTCTAGTAGCTGTGCAATGGGGAGGGGGGATTTTAGCTGAGCACATTTACAATAAACGGTGTCATTCTAGACCCGCCGTCGCTGCCTTGTTAGAAACTATCCAGCCCCAAGTTTTCCCTTAAGTCCAGACCCTGTCTTTGTAGAATGACTTTCGAATTTAACAGAGCAAGAAATGACACATCTGCATTTACATAGTTTCATCTGTTTCTGTTCTGACTTGAGGAAAACGTAATGAAAACAGCAGCCCCTATGAAGTCAGCGTTGTAATGCTCTGAATTAATCCCTGCACAAGTCGTGGCATGTTCCTCTGTCTTTTTGTCTCACTCATCTCTGTAATTCTGCTTTGCGTTGTGTTGGACAGAGCTGAGTCAGCACAGTTTTATTCTGACTCGATGGTCCCCCTCCCCAAACAAACACCCAGCACTGGGTTTCGAGTGTACAAATGTGGGTGGCAAACTTCCTTTATCAGCCTTCTTGTGTTGTTGTATTCCAGGAGCACATGCTCCACCTGCAGGCTCTGGATCAGAGGGCCCAGGAGACCAACCTGGAGAACTGGCTGAACCCTCACTGCCCCCCGCGCTGCGACAGGAACTACGGATACCCGGTCTGAAGATGGCAAAGGTCCCCAGTAAGAGACTCCACTGTCACATGTTAAACCTCAAACAAATGCAGCATCACCCGCCCACACAGCAACACAACTGGCAGCTTGTGCTTAAGTCAGATTCTACAGGCAACACAGGGATTTTTTTTTTCACACTGAAACAAACATTTGCAGGGACAGGCTTCCTGTCAACCCAGACCTGGTGGCACATCTCAGACAAGTAGCTCTCCTTACAAAGCCTGAACTCGTTCATCTGTCTGGCAAACTGAATGCATCTGTGTTGGTATTTTCTCTTGTGATATTTCTCTTCCTGTTTTTTTGTGATATTGTCAAGACTCTCAGACAGAACAGGAAACCTCAGAACCCGACTTCAGAGTCAGTTTCACAGCGTGCAATTATCAGTTTTCACATTAAACTCAAACTAAATCTGTGTTTCAGAGTTCACGGTGCGCTAATTTAAATCATTTGGGTCCGTTTTGAACAGAACCACATCAGCTCTCCATGTTACTGAGGAGCCAACGCTGATTTCCTTCTCACCACACAGTCTGTCTCTACAGAAAAAGTAAAGTTTTATAGAAGAAAAATGAGCTTTGATGGAGGTTTATTGTCATAAAACAGGAGTTTGAAAAGATGCTGATAACCTGAATATTATAAATAAGTCAATTAGTTTAAGAAAATATATATTCACTCTTTACAATCTACATTTTTAAATACTCCTCTGATAAATCTCCAGTGATCGCACACATTTTGTCTGCTTCCACTGATTCTAACATGTTTTATTTACACATCACCTTTGACTTTATATGATATTATGTGTGTTTTTCTTTCTCTGTGCAGAAAAGGAACCACGAGTGACTCAACATGGACTCAACAGTGACAAAAAGAAAAGAAAAAGAAAGAAAGAAAATATATAAACTCTTTCCTTCATCTCTGTTTCTTTTTTCTGCAATAAAATGATAATGTGAAGACATGTACTGCATATTTACTGTATTATCTTGTAGTTTGCTGTTCTCAGTAGTTTCTTCATGTATTTTCTTAGTTGTGTATCATCAGAGTGAAAATTGTAAACAGTGAATACAACCAAAAATAAATAAATCATGGATGCCTACAACAACTGCGTTATTATTGTTATTATTATTATTATTATTATTATTATTATTATTATTATTATTAGTGAGAATAAATATACGAGGAAGTCTGGAGGCTGCAGACATTAACCTTCTTCTCCTTGCCCACCGTACACGTGGTGTTCTGGTTTTAGTCACAGAGCGACTTCAGCGCCTCAAACCGTTTCCAGAAGATGACGATTATTTCTGCAAGGCCACAAAAAAATAAAAAATACATTTTAAAAAATTCTTGAAATTTTACCTCATTTTCGCTCCTAAATGTGGCTAATTTTTTCCACAAAGGTATTTTATCGAAGATTTAAAAAATAAATAAATGAGTTAAATTAAAGGACGGTAACAATTTCATTCCGCGTCATGGGGAACACCTCCGCGCGTAAAATGCGCACATGTCCGTCTTTGGCGCTGATATCACACCCGCAGACAGGTGGTGTGTAACGGGCGGTAAACGAGCTCCACAGGAAGAACAAAGCAGGCCTGTATTTACACAATAAACACGATATTAACGCACATCTAAACGCATTCGAAAAGAAGAAGTGGGGAAAAAATGTTTCGAAAGCCCATTTTGGAACCGTCACACAGAGATCATGATTACATCAATAATGACATTTATGGATAGAAATGGAGCTTCTTCTGAAGAAACAGAAAATTTATAAAAACCATATATAATAAATGTGGGGGAATACAGCAGTCGGGGCCTGTCAGAAGAACCAGCTGCGTTTTGTGGTTCATTTTTATTGTGACGGAGCGTAACGTGGCCTGCAGCCGTGGACGGAGCAGCGTGGAGAGGAGGAATTTAAAATGTACATGTTCACAGCACATTTACTAAAACAGAAAAAAAGAGGGACAATTTTCAGCAAGCAAAACTCTGAGCGCACAATAAAAAACTAAACGTGGCCTGCAGCAGCTTGGATCAGACACACTGGGTTTGTGCCTGAGGCCTTCAGCGTCTGCAGGAATTAGAGCAGAAATCATTCTTTATTTAGTTTAGCACAAAAAAAACCTGCGTTTTCCCAATAGTTTATCCATTAACTAGAAAAGAAAATGCAGGTATTACTGTATATATAATATGAATAAGGAAATAGGTTCACTCAGGCGGCCTGAACGCGCGGATGAATCCAGAATCTCGTTTGTGCGTCGAGGCCGAAGCTGCTGCAATAAAAACTGACAAGAAAACACAACGATATGAGAAAATTCAAATGATTTATTGAAAAGCCTCTAAAAAGCAGTTTGACACCAACTCTTTTATCTTGTTACATCAAAAGCTTCATGAACGTTTTTCTATGAAAATGTAAAATAGACTATATGTTAATGGAAAACGGAGTTAATATGCACCTTGGGGAGAACTCTGAGAGTGTGTGTTCTGAATGTTTTAATTTAGTTCATAATTAGAAATGTTAGACATTACAAAACTCTGAGACAGATTCGGCCTCATCTTTATTTTCTTTTTTTTTAATACTTTTGAATTCAAAGTGCTTCAGTAGATTTTTAAATATTTGCCCTGTTGAACTGAACAGGACTTGTCAGTCTAATCGCATCAAATGATCGAGAAATATTCAATCCACAGAGTGAATTTTATATCTAGGTTTTTCCTCGCTTCTCACAATTTACCTGCCTGAGCTCAGGTTGGAAGATAAGAGGTGAAAAAAATACATTCTAGTTAGTTATAATTGCAAAATAGTAAAATTCACAAGCTCTGTACAGAAAGTAGCAACCGGCTGCAAAGGAAACATGCAACTCATGTTAACCGATGCATGATGTGAAATGGACTTCATTTGATTTGGTCAATACATTAAATAGATGTCCAACTTTATAATATATACACATATGCACATTATGTAATTTGCTTTTATACATCACATACAAAAATTGCTTTGCGTAACAATCACACTGTCCTATAAACTTTAGTGTAATTCTGCTGCAAAGAAGACGACGAGGCGCAGCGCAACGGAATCGATCATCTCTTGTCTTTGAAGAAGCCTTTTGAAGTGCTGCTCTCCTTGATGGTGACGGTCAGGAAGTTGGTGGTCACGTCCGTCACCAGGACCTTTTCCACGTTGCCGATAGACGGCCTCCACGTCACTTCATCCAAGTCGTCGTCGAGCCGGGTCGGGGACGGCCTGTCCAAAAAGTAAGGCTTTTCCATCTGTGGCAGTTCAACGGGGCGGCTCAGGCTCATTTTGGAGGAGTGGTGCTTGAAGTGTGCCGGTGCCAGGTAGCCGGAGCTGTCCTTAGTCCTGTGTGAGTCCATGTCTGTCCTGTGGGGATGTGAGTAGAGCTGTTTGTAGGCGCTGCCACCGGAGAGTCCCCGGCTGTGCGTGTGGTGGTGGTGATGATGGTGGTGGTGGTGATGGTGGTGCTTGTGGCTGTGACCGTGGTTCTCTGGGTGTCTGTGGGCCAGTTTCACCAGACGCATGTCTTCGCCCCCCTGGAGCTTAGATAGCTTGTGAGGGCCGTGGCCCATCTGCTCCTCCACTCTCCTCTTGTGGGGCTCGGAGATGGCGGGGCCCAAGCTGCCGTCCTTGAAGCGGGGCTTGGGCTTGGGGCCTCTCTTTTTGGGCATGTGGATGAGTCCGTCTGAAGTGGTTTGCTGAAGCGAAGGCTGCTGGTGCTCACGGCTGCTCAGTTCTGGCTGCCGGATGCGAACGCTCTCTCCACGGTTGACGGTGCTCGGTGGGAAGATGGTGGGGACGACGGCTCTCAGGCCCTCTCTGGCCCTCGGGGTGACCACCGGCTCTGGGGTTGGGTAGGTGATGTGCATCCCTCTGACTGCCTCACTTCTGAACTCATAGGACTTGGCTTTAACTTTAGCTTGAGCCTGATAGGAAATGGGGGAAATGAGAGGAAAAATATGAGGATAAATGAACAAACATCCTGACAAGAGGTCCATGCTATTTATTTTATTTTTTTTTTAAACTTTCTTCAACAACTCAACAGGCCTTTTTTAAGACAGGCATTGTGACAGTGAGCCAACACGCATTAAACCAGGAGTTAATAATTCCATTTATTACAGATTTTTTATTTCATTTTATTTAAACATCTGCTTTTCTTCCTGGGTGTCATGAAGAGGCTTCAGCTCATATCTAACATATGGCACTGCTGTCACACTTAAAGCACCTAACATTTTTAAATGAATGGAGTTACACACACATGCTACTGTCACAGGATTTACTGGTGAACTTCCAGTAACCCATTTCTAACAACAGCCCTGTCAACGGAGATCCTGGTATTTCGTTCAAGACAAACTGTCGGTCATTAAGCAATTTTTCACGGTTCACTGTCCTGAAAAGATGAAGCATCAGGCCAGCATGCTTTCCTCAACCGATTACATCCACACGACACTGTGGCATTTTGTTGATCTTCATTTAATGATGCATTTATTAACAAAAACTGAGCAAAGCAGCAGCTTATTAACGAGACTGGCAGCTGTTCAGAGCCTCTTTAAGCGTTTCGACATGACGAGCAGGCTGCATGCACACCCACTGTTTTAAAAATATGCATAATTGGCATCATTAAAAGATGCTTGCACATTTAGTAATTACTCTGCAAGTACAACCAGAAAGCACACAGTGAAGCAATGCAAAAAGCACGCACAGGAATTTCACGTGTCGCGTTATTAGCCAGAAGCATGCGATGAGCGAATAGCTGCTGCTAACGTTTACCTTCAGCAGGAACGTCTTGGGTTTTGGTCCTCTCTTTTTGGGCCCGTACAGCTCCCTTTCACGCTCCCTGAGGAAAATAAAAAAATATTAAAAAATAAAGCAAACGGACACCCATTTTGAGTGTCACGGGAGCAAAGTGCACCGAGGACACCGTGTAGTTATTGGACGAATTCACTGGCTCTGCCCACGAAAAAAAAAAAAGAAAAAGAAAGAAAAAAAAAAAACAGGCCAGACATCTTACCTCTGCTCAAAAGCGGCAAACAAGCGGGAGTCCAAAATATTCTCCTCCGGCTCCCAAGTGCTGTATCTGCGGGTAGAAAAGCGCAGAGTTTAGATTGAGGAAGCTGACACTCGGCGTAGCGTTAGCATGCGAGCTACAACCAATCTCCATCGTGCAGTTTTAATCCTCGCTAGCTGCGCCGAAGCTAACGACAGCCGAGACTGTACAGACACCAGAAAAAAAATATGCAGGAGACACAATGTAGAGGGACTTACTTGGGAGACCAGCCCTTCCATTTCACGAGGTATTCAATCCGACCCTGCGTGCCATCAGAAACAAACAACTCCCGTTAGCTTGCGGGGCAACAGTGGTATTCAGAGTGCGGTGGCGGCGCGTTACAATTCAGCGCCCCGGGAAGGAGGAAAACACAGCCGGAGCTTACCTTCCTTATCCTGCGTTTGATGATAGACTCGGCGGCGAACACCCTCTCCCCGACGGCGGACAGCTCCATGTTTACTCCGGCGCTACCTACCCACCGTTAGCTCGGTGGACGCTAACGCTAGCAGGGCAGATATTTTTCTCCAGTCGCAGCCACTCTGAATTCCCGACAGACCATAATACTCCCGAACAGAATGGACGTCAGCGCAGTGGTTTTCTCTTTTTTTTTTTTTCGTCTTCTGACGTCGTTGCTAGGGAACGGCAGTCGGTGGAACCTCGAAGAATGGCTGCGATTGGCCGAGCTTGCTACGTGCTCGGGTTGCTAAGTGAGGGGCGGAGCATGCGCCTGAGTGAATTCTTTCGGCGGGGGGGGCGAGAAAATGGTGGCGTTTTTTTTTTTCTTTTTGCTTCCCCGCGCTGTGAATCATTTCGCGCAAGTTAGACGAGATGTACAAAAATACACGTGTTGTAGTGAAATAAATAAAGCAACTAAAATAGAAACAAAGCTGCTTAATTTGTGCGTCAGCGCCGGAAACGTGAGATTTTTTTTTCCTTGAGTCCGTCTAGCGACGTTTTTATCAGCTTGATGCGCTAAACTCGCTTTAATGCATAAAAATAAAATATGTGACGGTTTGTTTACATCGTTACAAATGCTTGTTTGTCCTCGA